ACGCTGGATCGATCAACCTTTATTTCATCCTGAGTGCTGGCCTTTGCATCTTCAAGGCTGGAGAAAACCCATGTAGGATCTTGCACTGGGGCTTTTCTATAGTATCTAGTCATATATGCATGCTGGATGGATCAATCCTCCCGGAAACGTCATCGGAGCAACCACTGTGTCCACATCGAAGCAGGACCAGTGGTTCTCATGGTAGCCTTTGTGTGTGGCAGGGCTGATGACACCCCATGTAGCGCCTTGCACTGGGGCCGGTGGATTGACCCACTTTAACCCTGAGGGCCGGCCTTTGCGTCTGGCAGGGCAAGGAACCTTTAGCTTGATCGGTGTTCCAATAAGCGCAATATTTCTTGTTACAGCACCAGTGGCTCATAGTAGTTGGTCTGCAGTCTGCACAGTGGGGGGTGTGCTTGAATCACACACGTCATGCATCCCCCTCAGTGTCTGTAATCCTCTCCAGGTCAACACAAAAGATATCACTGAAAGCTTATGTGAGAAGAGGAACTTACCACCTTTGCTTGAAAATTGACTGGCAATGAGCTGGACACCTAAATACAGAACATCCAATACGAGCAAACCTCATGAAAACGGGACCAGGGAAACTCCCCAAAGACATTTTGGTTAAAGTCTGCGGGTTAAAATTGCCTTAATAATATTGAAAACGGGACCAGGGAAACTCCCCAAAGACATTTTGGTTAAAGTCTGCGGGTTAAAATTGCCTTAATAATATTGAAAACGGGACCAGGGAAACTCCCCAAAGACAGTTTGGTTGAAGTCTGCGGGTTAAAATTGCCTTAATAATATTGCCCAAAAAGGTATGGTAACAATTAAAATATATTAAATTCTTAATTCAATAATTCAAAAATCTTTTGTGTTACTAACCATGTTTGTTTTCCCTTTGGCCGGAAAAAGTAAGTAGGAATATTATGTAACATACCTACAAACTGTATGCTACGTCTATTTGTTCATAATTAATTTCTTATTTGGTCATTCAAAGATTATTTGTCCGTCTTACTTACGATGATTTATTGTTCCCTCTCTTACTCCATCACCGTGGACAAAAAAGGTGAGTCAGAGCTTCTGATTTAGAATCTATAATGTAAAGGCAAAGTTAGAAATAGCTCAATGTTTTATGTTAATCTGTTTATGCCTTTAGTATGTTTATTTTATAATTGAAATATTGTTTTATTAACCATTCTGTCTCATACTTAACTTTTACAATACTCCACCACCTGAGCTGCTGCTGTTCACCGTGGACAAAAAAGGTTGGTATGAGCGTCAAAATATATTATAAAATATATTAATCATTTACTATCTTTGATTCACGCTGACCCTGATTTCCCTAACGCTGACCCATATGATGGTGACGCTTTTAATGCTGCTTTTGAGTGTATTATTGACAGGTACAGGTGTGGGCTACCTGAAGAGGAGGAGGACCCTGAGATCGATGTCGTCGGCCTTGAGGACTCCTCCACAAAACGACGCAGGGAAGAGAGCGACGACGAGGAGGAGGCTGCTGCGAAGAGGCCGAGGTGGTCCGAAGAGAGCGACTCGGATTGACTCTACGATGGGACGGGCTGACATTGTGTTCCCTTTGGCCGGAAAAAGTAAGTAGGAGCTTCAGTTTTGTTGAGAAAGTGACCTAGAATAGTCTACAATATAAAAACAAAGTAATATTATGTAACATACCTACAAACTGTATGCTACGTCTATTTGTTCATAATTGATTTCATTCATTTTCAAAATCATTCAAAGATTATTTGTCCGTCTTACTTACTATATGAATCATTTAGTATCTTTGATTCAATCAATACAATATTATTTGTCTTACCGTTATTTTTATTTTTCTCACTCCACCTCCTGAGCCGCTAACTTTCACGCTGGACTAACAGATGAGTATGAGCATATATACTTATATGTAGTTTTATAAACTTAGTTCAGGAACAGGTCCACGCCCAGAACACAGCTCATTTCCTCTGCACAGAGTATTTAAGCACAACGAACCCGTTCACTTCCTCTTCGACTCTGTCTTCACATCCCTCCCCCCCAACCCAGTTTTTGTCCTCCTCTTTCTCTCTCTCTCTCTTGCAGGATTACAGGAACAACAGGGGACTCTGCACCGCCGGAGCTTCCGAAGAGACGGCCCCCACCCTACAGTCTCCATTCCCCCCCGTTCCCGCCAGCCGCCGGACATCAACGGTCCCCCCATCGATCGCCGAACCTCCTTTCTACAAACCCTCGTCGTTTCTTCTTCCTTACATCCCTTCATCCCTACCCGACATCCCTTCATCTCTTCATCCCTACCTGACATCCCTTCATCTCTTCATCCCTACCCCACATCCCTTCATCCCTCGACCCCTTCCGCTTCTTGAATCTAACAATCATTCCACTATGCAATAAAGCTCTCGAAACTCATACTGTTATTGCCGTGGTCCTTGTTAGTGAAATAAATATATATATATATATATATAAAGTAATGTGTATTATTGTGTAAACACAGAAACACTGAGATAATTAATGAGGACGTTTCTTTATTTACAGATGTTTCCTGGTCATTCTTCTGCAGGATTGTGTGAACTGCTCCGACTCATTTCTCAACTTCACTGGTTTTGTGTTGCATTCAATAAAACACTCAATTCATCTAAAGTGACACTTTTGTATTGTGAGATTTTCTTTGGTTCAACTTCAGTCATGTTGAGTTCATGTGAAGCTTCTTAAATAGTGAAGATAACATGTATAGTGGCTTAAAACAGCTTTGCATCTGTCAACAAGCAGCTACACCGAGTCATGAGGATTACGTTGTAGAACACAGGATTTTAAATCAGTCCATATACAGATCAAAGCATTGCCACATATCCAACAGCTCTAAGAAACCATCAACGGTCAGGGAGGTAAGAAGATGAACACATAAGACGGATTGTAAACACTTCAGGAATAATACTAAGTATTTCATTAGGTAATTAAGCATTAAGTTGGGTTTGTTAGACAGAAAAAACAATGCTTTCTCCACACATACAACTAACGGGCCACGCTGGCAGTAAAGATGTGATGATCATTAAACAAAAAACATTGAAGGATGAAAAATTGAGGGAAAAAAAACATTGCTATTCTTGGATACCACTCTGCAAAGAAATAAACCAAAAAAAAAGTGAATTGTGGCCTGAAGGTGGACCCAGACAGGATTTCTTTAAGATCTTGCAGTACTTGTGTCTGCACAACCTTAGCTACGTTGCCTTTAGACGACGGTGGTCACAGTCGAGACAGATTCAGTGGGCTATGTGTTAGCTATATGTATACGTTACTAGTAAAAACCGGTGGCGGGCCGTGCATTTTATACCTGGGCCTTCACTGCTGTCTTACCACCTAATAACCTCATGATGGCGCCACAGCTACGGTTATTTGTTTCTTGGGGTGTAACATCACGTATTCGTTTTAAACCGTTCGGTACAAGGCTTACAAACCGACCAATAATACTGGTGCATTTGGAAAATGCTGAAGCTTAAATTGTGGTAAATATAACGTTTTCGGTGGACACCGGTCTGTCTGTCTGTTTAGTTTCCGGGTCAGCGTCTGACCCCGGAAGCAAAACAAAACGCACAAACTCGCGCTACATTCTCCCCGCAGCGTTTAGCTGTTCCCTACTGATTCAAACAGGGCTGAAGCAATCGCCACACAATCCCCATTTCTCCAGACCATAATTCTTGTTTGTAAAAGAAAACAGCCCAATCTGATTCAATTATCCGGACCCTAAACCCACGCAGGACGGTATGCTTCGTAATTAACGGACAATGCGTATGGTCAAAATCGATGTAATTAACACAATGACAAGAGCTAACTCACAAGAACCGTCACATATATTCACAACAAAGCATGACAAAACAATCCAGCAACGCTCACACTAAAGAGCAAGGGCCATTCAAATATTATTTACATCAGGGAACAAAATATCTGTTAAATGTTTATATAGCTGTTAAATGTTTATACCTACATCTGTTCTACTTTTTTGCTGCCCTTTTTTATTCTTATATATTTTTCCTTGTTTATTGTAAAATAGTGTATTGTATGTACATTGAGAGCGGAGTGGAAACCGGAGACAAATTCCATGTATGCGTACACATACAGTGGGGAAAAAAAGTATTTAGTCAGCAACCAATTGTGCAAGTTCTCCCACTTAAAAAGATGAGAGGCCTGTACTTTTCATCATAGGTATACCTCAACTATGAGAGACAAAATGAGAAAAAAAAAAATCCAGAAAATCACATTGTCTGACTTTTAAAGAATTTATTTGCAAATTATGGTGGAAAATAAGTATTTGGTCAATAACAAAAGTTCATCTCAATACTTTGTTATATACCCTTTGTTGGCAATGACAGAGGTCAAACGTTTTCTGTAAGTCTTCACAAGCTTTTCACACACTGTTGCTGGTATTTTGGCCCATTCCTCCATGCAGATCTCCTCTAGAGCAGTGATGTTTTGGGGCTGTCGCTGGGCAACACGGACTTTCAACTCCCTCCACAGATTTTCTATGGGGTTGAGATCTGGAGACTGGCTAGGCCACTCCAGGACCTTGAAATGCTTCTTACGAAGCCACTCCTTCGTTGCCCGGGCGGTGTGTTTGGGATCATTGTCATGCTGAAAGACCCAGCCACGTTTCATCTTCAATGCCCTTGCTGATGGAAGGAGGTTTCCACTCAAAATCTCACGATACATGGCCCCATTCGTTCTTTCCTTTACACGGATCAGTCGTCCTGGTCCCCTTGCAGAAAAACAGCCCCAAAGCATGATGTTTCCACCCCCATGCTTCACAGTAGGTATGGTGTTCTTTGGATGTAACTCTGCATTCTTTCTCCTTCAAACACGACGAGTTGAGTTTTTACCAAAAAGTTCTATTTTGGTTTCATCTGACCATATGACATTCTCCCAATCCTCTTCTGGATTATCCAAATGCTCTCTAGCAAACTTCAGACGGGCCTGGACATGTACTGGCTTAAGCAGGGGGACACGTCTGGCACTGCAGGATTTGAGTCCCTGGCGGCGTAGTGTGTTACTGATGGTAGCCTTTGTTACTTTGGTCCCAGCTCTCTGCAGGTCATTCACTAGGTCCCCCCGTGTGGTTCTGGGATTTTTGTTCACCGTTCTTGTGATCATTTTGACCCCACGGGGTGAGATCTTGCGTGGAGCCCCAGATGGAGGGAGACTATCAGTGGTCTTGTATGTCTTCCATTTTCTAATAATTGCTCCCACAGTTGATTTCTTCACACCAAGCTGCTTACCTATTGCAGATTCAGTCTTCCCAGCCTGGTGCAGGTCTACAATTTTTGGAGTTTGGAGTGTGACTGTTTGAGGTTGTGGACAGGTGTCTTTTATACTGATAACGAGTTCAAACAGGCGCCATTAATACAGGTAACGAGTGGAGGACAGAGGAGCCTCTTAAAGAAGAAGTTACAGGTCTGTGAGAGCCAGAAATCTTGCTTGTTTGTAGGTGACCAAATACTTATTTTACCGAGGAATTTACCAATTAATTCATTAAAAATCCTACAATGTCATTTCCTGGATTCTTTCCCTCCATTCTGTCTCTCATAGTTAAAGTGTACCTATGATGAAAATTACAGGCATCTCTCATCTTTTTAAGTGGGAGAACTTGCACAATTGGTGGCTGACTAAATACTTTTTTTCCCCACTGTACATGGCCAATAAAGCTGATTCTGATTCTGATATCCATAAATGACACAATAGGCAAAATTAACACACTGCAGATATAAAGAAAACAAAAGCAGTTTCACTTAACAAATGCTGTTCTATTTAAATACAAAGTCCATCCTCTTTGTTTACAAAGAGTTCAATAACTCGGCTGTGCAGTACATCCGTGCGTTTCAGTTCCAGCAAGAGGTCCTTTTCAGTATTTCCCTATTCTTCTTCACTTTTTCAATGTGGAGCTCCGTTTCCCTGCGAACTTGTTCGTTGATCTGGAGATCCACTCGGGTCCCTCCAAACGTTTTCAAGAGCACCGTAGCTTGTACGTGTCCCGCCGTACTTTGGTGTCGCGTAGCGGTCTTGCTCAGGCAGCTCAGGTTACCAAATCCAGCAGGGCTCCATACACCAAGACGTTCAGTCGCAAATAACAAGCATTCCCAGCAATACAATTTGCATCTCCTCTCCGACCCTGTCAGCCAGGAATACCGTTCATAGTTTGCGGACTGAAAGTGGCGCACAAATCCTTTTCCTGGCTGTATCATCACAGATCATCACACACATCACGGATTTATGGAAACACCTATTGTAAACACAGACACACACAGTCCAAACTATTTACATTTACACAATTTACTATAAAATAAAATCTCTCTCACACACGCATGCCTGCGTTAGTGCAGGGGGCGTGGCCACATAATAGTGACGTCATCGAAAAACGGCCTTTCTGAGTTGCACTTGAACCTAACAAGTTTACCTGCAGCACCTAAAAGATTGAGCTCTCAGAGATCTGATCACCTCGAAAACAAACTGTTGGAGAACTGAGTTGAATACCTACAGCAAACAATACCTGTTGGATACAATGGCTTCCAGTGGACCCCCGGCGTGCAGACCAGTGTGCATCTTCAGACCTACAGGTAAAGATTTTTTTTTTTTTTTTTTTTTTTTTAAATTTCATGCCAAATGTGTTTATTAATGTTCCTTGA